AGATGAGAATTTACTTGTTTGGGTTGTCAATTTTGGATTCAGGATGCTTAAGGGCGAATTTACGAACGTAGGAATCCTCAGGAAGAACAATCTTCTTGATCTTCCCATTAGAGCGAGGAAACACAGGAGGTGGTGAACTGCCATTAAACCAAATCACAGGTCACACTCATAAACCCTAAAATCCTAAATCCAACGCAACTAGAATTCAATTGCAACCCAACTAGAAAACCCTATAACGGGATAAATCAATAAGGAAGTATCTGATTGGAATAAAAACAGATCGATCAAGCCGAATAATTTTCTCGAGAAAATTTGGGAACAAAATACAAATGGGAAGAAGAAGAGAGTTACGCTTCCATGGCTTTAAGCCAAACAGGTTCTCGCATAGCCAATCCACCAACAAGCCTCCTGCTTTTGGAAAGTAAATCTCCTTTCATCCACGACATGGTTGCTTTACGAGAGAGCTTCTTCACTTCGCTTGATCTGTAATTTTCCCGACGAGGAGGAAAATGGCGAAGGGTTTCGAAATGGCTTATTATTCAGCTCGTTTTGGTTTAATTAAATCAAATTGACCGGTCCGACCGGGGGTTACGAAAATGAGTCGTATCGGTTAAACCAAACCGCGTGCGGAGACATTCCAACGCCGACGTCGTTTTAAGCATCTTTATCTGCCTTGTTAATTTATCCATCTTCGCTCGAGCCGCGATTGAATTGAACTGCATCAATGGCGTTGAGACTGACATCGCTAAAACGCGCCGCGATTGAATCCCGCCGCATTTTAGAAACCCGAAGCTTCAGCCACGTGGCGGCTATGCCTTCGCCCTTGAGCAGCGTCATCGATCGACCCATCGCAATGCCGCCGCTGATTTCACCTGAGTTCGATCAGAATCAACCGGGTTCGATCGATGGAAAGAGCTTCGGATTCGGGATGCCTAGTTTTGCTTTCAGCGGATCCATGGAGCTGATGGCTGTGCCCAAGAAGAAGGTCGCAAAACTCCCAATCTCTTACTTCATTTTCTTAGGGTTTAAATTATTGTTATTAGCCTTTTTGACGGATTCAGGTTTTCTCCAGGGTTTAGATTGAGTGTGCGTGCATCTTTTCCAGTTGCCTGTGTACCTTTGGGGTTTAAGCTTACATTCTAAATTGATTTGGTTCCTTCTGCTTCACATGTAGACTATAATCTCTGGGGTTATCTAGTATCAGATGAAAATGTGTTTTGTTTTCTTTTCTTTTTTCTATGTCCATTTGGAGCACAATAGGGTTTAATTGAGGGTGTTCTTTGCAGGTTTCTAAGTCCAGGAGAGGGATAAGAAATGGGCCAAAGGCTCTTAAGCCTACTCCTGTGATCATCCGTTGCAGGTATGAGATTGGCTTCTCTTCCTGCTTTGATCTCTTTGTTACTTCTTAATCTTTGCATAGCTTGATTTTGGTGTCAGATCTGGTTTTGAACTTGTCAAGGATTTTGTTCTGTTAGTTTCTCTAGCCTGTAAATGTACATGCTTTCTGATTCAATGCTCTGTCCTTACCATCGTTTGGTAGAAACTGCATTCAGAACTGTGAAATCGTTAACGAGTTTGATGGGAGAACTTTTTGTCTACTGTTCGCATTACAAGAATTTTGGCCATGGCATATGCTTGATTTAAAACTTCTTTTGCTTTTTGTCATCTCATTGTGAGGGTACTTTTATCAGAATTTTATTATATATGCCGCCAGTTTAAGTGCATACTCTCTTGTGGTTTCAGGAGTTGCGGGAGAGTTAAGCTGCCACATTTCTTCTGTTGCAGTGGTGACCGGGTAAACCCTAGCGAGCATTGAAATTCGAACAGCTGATCAAGATTTCTTATATGATGACTCCTTGCTGGATATCTAGAGGGAATAATCTTGGCTTTCTTAGTAATAGACTGGAGTGATACGATAGACTTAGTTGACTCTGTTTTCGCAAATTTTTGGGTTTCTGCTCCTAGATCGATATGCTCATACTTTTTTCGACAAATAATGTTATTGCCATTGCTTGTTTGCAAATTCTAGGCCAGCTCATTTATATATATGTGCTCTTAGACTTAGAATCAACTCTACATCGTTTTTAAATGGAGAAAAGTCTTCACCTGAAGCATCTATGAAAGTTTTAGAAGATCATTTGTCATAGGTTCTCTGTCTGAATAACCTCGTAGTTTCAGGTAGTAACATAGATTCTATTTTATTTATCCAGTAAGTCCATGGAATAATCTTGGTTCGAAATTTTTCTTGGGCACATCGTGACTAGAACTTGTCGTTTTCGGTTGCTTTTGGTTTCCTTCAGATGTGGCAGCAGAGAGCATTACGTTAACCCTAGGTAAGATTGTTTTATCGAAGCCATTTCTCATTTACTTTTCTTTACAGTTTACAAACAAATCCAAGCAAGCCCTTAGAAGAACAAATAAGGTTGAAACTATACTCTTGTCCAACAAATCTTGAGTAGATCCAATCTAAGAGCTAACTATCTTGACTATCCTCTTCATCATAGTTGAATGGTAACGGAACTGATTTGAATGCTCTGAACTTTCCCACGTTGTTCAAATGCTCGTTCTCTAACCTGCGTTCATAACCCGACAAAGCGACAGCCCTAAGTAAAAGATGCTTTCAAGGAACATTCAATGTTTCTTGGTCCAGAAAATTACCTGAAGAAATTCCAGATACCACGACGTATAATCTCTAGACCAGCAAGAAGAGCAATCATAGTTTCTCGATGTAGGAACGAGATATTAAAATCCAGCACTGTCTGCAACCACGCCAGCCGCAACACAATGTTTAAGACCTGCAAAGAAGAGAAGACAGAAAGAACATTAAAAAGAAACCCGAAACCCGGTTTTTTTTTACTGTTTCTTATATTTTTCATAGTTCTCACCATTGCAACGTAGTAGACGGCTTTGTTAGGAACAAGAAGCTTCTCTCTCAACCAACCTTTAGATGGTCTGTGAAGCAATCCCCAGTCAAAAACAATGTCCCAATATGTGCCGTAAAAAGTTGCCAACGCCGAGAAAATCCAGGCAGTGATTTTCCAGATGTTTCCTCTGTTAAGGCTATAAGCTGTTCTCAAGCACACAGCGACAATGGTCAATAAATACTTTAGAGCATTGTAGCCCTGGCTTGAATCTTTCCCTTCAAAAAACCTTCGAACACACTGAAGGAAACGCAACCAGTAAGGAATCACAGCGACGATAAAGTAGAATGTGTTGTATACATGGCTTGATCTGCAAGTGTTCTGTCTCAGCTTGAAGTCACCCCAACCATAGTAACAGATGTAGAACTCCAAACTCCTCAGTGCTTGAACCTAAAGAAGACGGTTGATGAATAAGTCAACATTTTGTAAAGATAACTATGAACGTTGGAAGAATGTTATGAAAACACAAACCTGGCTTGTCAATTGGTCTGCTAAGAAAAAATCTGGAAGGTTAACCGCATAGAGAGGTGCAGCGATGCAGCGAAATAAAACCATGAGGAAGAAGAAGCGGCTTGACCGATAAAAAATGTTGAAAGGACAGACAGAAATAGCTACCACTAGCTGCAAAAGAAATATTGTTAAGAAGAAATGTGTTTATTACTACATTGATAAAAGAATAATTTGAGATTCTGGTGCTGAGAATGATATATATCTTACAGCTATAATAAAAAGGGGAAGGAGTTCAGTGACGGCCTTGTAGTCATTAGTGTTAGGATCCATCTCCATGTCAAGGTTTACTAGAACAGCGCAAAGAGCAAGCGTGCCGAGACCAAAGCTTAGAAGCAAAACATGTCTGTAGCCAAGCTCTGTTCCTTCTTTGAATCCGAATATAAACGAGTAATTCACTCGATATCGCTTCCAAAAGTATATGTTTGATGCATACATGATCATGTGCAGAACCACAAATCCAAAAAAGCTGAAAATTATGGTTTAAGAAACATTATTCTCTGCAAGAAAGCAATAATTCACTTAGAGAGAGTAATCTATAGATGTTTTGGTTTTAACCTGTAAAGAGGGAACATTGTCACCATGTAGAGTTTATGTCCGTTTGCGCCTATTATATTACGAGCATGTGTGAATAAGCAAAGAGCAATCACCAGAGAGACTGTGCAGCCGACGAAAAAGCCTGAGAAAGAAAGAACACATTGAAGGGACTTCGATTAATATTAGTAATGAGTTGTTAGAAAACTGGGTTAAAGTTGAGAAAAGTCTTTAATTTACCAGTGGAAAATGTTATTCGATGTTTTTCTTTCTTCACTTTAGGTCTTAAAAGATTCATTCCTTTGCTTCGATTCGAGTTGGCGAAATGCTCGACAAAATTAGACTCAACTCTCATCCTAAGCTTGTTGATCTGTTAAAATGTAACTAAACCATTTAGCAAAAAAAAAAAACTAACTAAACCTCTGATTTAAAAATTTGTGGTTTTATTGAAAGAAAAGGATAAATTTTGAGTAGAGATATTGTATTAACCTCATCAGAGCTAGTGAGGTAGGACTTATCTACCATCTCCATGTATGGTTTTAATGCACTTCTTGAAGCAATCTGGTAGAGAACATACATAGCAAAAACATATTTATTAAGTCTCACGGAAAAAAAAATATATATATATCGTCTGATCAAAACAAGTGTTACCTTATCATACTTCTTCATGATCTTTGAAATCGCCAAGGTGTTCAAGTAGCTGAATTAACCAAGAACAGAGCATGGATTAAATCAAACAATCTCTTTTAAAATGTTTTTTTCTTCTTAATTAATACTTAAGACACAACATACCTGTAATTCTTGAGATGTCGAAGCTTGCGATAAAACTCGATGAAGGCAATCTCAAGCCTTTCTTCTATCTTCTTGAGATTCTCTCTTGTGAATTTGAGCTCTTCATGGTTAGAGAGCTTGAGGAAGTTTCTAATTGTGGAAATAGGACTTTCCTTAGTTTTGTTTAATCTGATACGGTCAAGAACACTTGACGCCTCTGGTACACTTTCGTTCGTTGAATCTCCACCGCTGGATCGATTTTTTTCCTCTAATTTGATTCCCATTTCTTCAGCTAATGTCTTCCCTTCAAAACCAAACACACACACAAAAAAGGTTCAAACTTTGTGTCCTTTCATATGAAACCCATTCACAAACACACAATCTCTCTGAAAACTTACTGTGTTCCGTAGAATCCAAGGCATTCACATCGACTGATACTGTTTCAGTGCAGCTCCAAGAAGAGGAAGGTTGATCTACTTTGATTCTGAAAGCAATCAGAACATCCATTTGTTTGTTCAAAACCACTGCCTCTTTCACCATTTCCTCCACTTTAGACCGGTAAAAACGGTTTACTTTATCGAATTCTAGATCTAGGGTTTTAAAGAACACAAGCTCTGACTCTCTTCCTGCTTCCGAAATTCTCATGATTGTCGTCTCGTATCTCTCAAACCCATCCTCACCAGTCGTTTCGTTCACCATAATGTCTTGGTTTTCGAGATCCTGAGCCGAAGCGGTGCGGCTGTACCGCTTTGTCAAACCGCTGAAGTTGCGGCCGGGTACTTGCTTGCGTCTCAAGGCGCCTGCTGATCCCCCTGATCTTTTCCGTGAAGTTTGGATTTCTTGTAGAATGGTTTTGAGACAAGCATAATCCATGTAAGCTTGTTGCCATTCTGGAATCATCTGCGCAACAAACTCTTTCCCAAACTTCATCTTTGATTTTCTTTCTCAAATTCTCTGGATTTCTATGTAAAACTCAAGATTCCAGATCCAATTTTTCAAAAAAAAAATCCCTTTAATCTCTATATCTTAGTGAAAATTTGGCTGCTGAGTAAAGAAACAGTTTACAGAGAAGACAACAATTATATAAAAAGACAGATCTT